TCTTCAAGACATGGATTGCTAATTGGAGCTGTTTCATAGTGTAGTTAAGGAGGAAGATTTCAAGGTGTTCCTACTAAAATCTTTTTTTTTTTTTTTAAATTTTTATTTTAAAGGGAGTACTTTAGAGGAGAGGTCATACGAGCATTCTCCAAGTGACCATGATCCAGAGTGTCTCCTCAGGAGGTCTGGAATGGCAGGAGAAGAGTCCCTTGAGGTCTGACACTGTATGGACAACCTTGCTCCTCACCTCCCCCACCCCACCATTGCTCTCACTGGCCCAATGGCACTTGCGTCACTTGTCCTTACCTCAGACTTCTCCACTGAGCTCTGCAGCTGGGTGCCACAGCTCCTGTGCACCATCTCCTCCCTGCTCTCCTTACAGAACTGGCTGCACACAGGCACAGAAGAATTTTTCCTATTGGCAAGCAAAGCCAAGCCAAGCACAATCAAGTTTCATAAACAACAAAACACAGTCCTCCACAATTAAACTCCTCCTGGGTGCCTTTTCTGGGCACCTAGAGGAGAGTAACTGCCACCATGGCCTTCCCAAGGGTAAAGCACGCTTCGCCAGCCTGACAGCCTGCAGCTGAGCATGAGGAGATAAAAAGTGGATGTCGTTTGCCTCAGCTTCAACAAACCTCTTGGCATGGTCTCCCTCAATATTCTTGTATGCACGTTAGGCCCTTACAGTCTGGATGGACAGACAGACAGATGGGCAAACCACCAGTTGGATGATGAGGCTGAGAGGGCAGTAGTGAAGGGGTCACACCCTACCTGGAGGCCAGGGGGACAACCTGGGGCATTTTGGGGCAGCACAGGGGACTCTCCCCAGCCCTGTGCAGTTTGACACCTGTATCCATGACCTGGAGGAGGCAACTGTCACCACGTTTGTCGGTGACACTGAATTGGAAAGCCATTCCTGTGCCTTGAGATTCCACTCAGGGGCAACTGGGTCGCAAAAGAGTGGCAGGCACCTCACTCAAAAGAGATAAGCAGCACAATGCCATTATTCATTTTTATTGAGGTAAAGTACTAATTTGACAAAGCTCAATGATTTCAGTGGAATTTAAAAAAGTTTAAGAGGGGTTTACCAAGGTTCAATAAGTCTGATGGCAAAATTCACTTTACTTATTGCTGCATGACTGAAACATGCAAAGGAAAACTGAGTTAGAATTCAGTTAGAACGATTCAGAGAGACCGGAGATGCAAAGAGTAAGGAAAACCCCACTGTTGAGTCAGGAGGTTCACACTGGACCTATTTACCTGCTAAAGTCCTTATGGAGCCAAAGTGCAGCTGCGTCCAATCTTAGTCTCAGACTTGGACAATGGTTTACGTCTAATGGAATTATCTATACAAAGTTTACAATAATCAGTATTGCATAGCAACATGGATTAGTAATGATTCATTAATATCAATCAGCATGCAATCAAATTTACCAGACAAAATCTTAGTTACCGTACTACAAGATTATGTGCGATATTGGCAGCCTACCAATGATCTGCTGTTGGTAAAAGGTCTCTGCCTTTAGGAGCAACCTTGAGAGGTGCCCCAGCTCCAGGGGAGATCACCACAATGCAGCCACGCTGCCTAGCAGGGAGAGCTCAGAGAAGGCTCACTCAGGCTGTCATGTTTATGGGATAAAGGGCTTGGCTCATAGTCAAATTACATGCAATGGAAAAGGTAGGCATGAGGCTCCTTGTACCCACAACTGTCTTTGTTCCTTGATAAATGAGGCTTGAGAAAGCCAACTGTTGTTCATGTGTCAATCACGTGATTGGTGTTCCAAGCTCATCTGCTCATGGTGTCACTCTGCTCCTTTGTGAGCTTTCAGAGTACAGATTGAAACACCAGGAGTTCAGGGCCCGGCTATGGCTCAAGTCTTTACCTCTTTCAAAGCCTGCACCAAACAACAGCCACTCTGGTCAAGGGGTTGAGTGCATCCATCACACCCCACCCTGTGACTACAGTCAATCCACTTTGTTGACTGGTAGAGTGGTGGTATGGTTGCCTCTTGCCTCTATGTCATAAATATGTGGCGTATGGCAGATCAGCGGTAAGAGTCCAATTATTTGATAAGGTGTTTATTTTAAATGTCACAATTTATGCTTCATAGATACCACATTACACACAGAGTCACTTGGCTTTGTACATTTTACATGCTGGGTTGATGCATTTTGTTTCATTTGTTGCCGAACTCTGATCTACAGAATGATTATAAGCAATAAACTTAACAAGGTTAAACCCAACAAAACTACAATTGGGTTGATGGGAAAGGCAGAGAGAAGCTGAGCTCTCCCTACGCTATAGGACATTGTTTGGTCAGGTGAAAGCATAGGCTGCCGAGACGATAGCGAACAGGGACAAGTACAGTTGTCTGGCACTTGCCTTGGACAACCTCTGGCACCTCAGGTGTCACCAGGTATTTCATCTGAACGGCCAGCTCCTGACCTACAGCTTCATTAATTACCACAGGAGCTGAGACAAGGAGCTCCCATGCAGGTGCCCATTTCATGCCCACCTGAACTGAGGCAAGAGTAATCCCACCGCCGGTGGGTTTGTGGCAGGCAGAGGAGGAAGCTGAGTCCCCTTCCCGTGCTAGCAATAGAAACATGGGATGACAGGCTTTGGCTGACTCGGCTGAATCCTATCCCTCAGCAAGAGTAAAGGAGATCCCTGCCTGTCATTGTCTGGGTGTCCTGCCTAATAAGAAGACACAAAAGGTGGTTTTAGACCTAACTCTATCTCTGACAGGAGCAATGACACTGATGGAAGGAAGCCTCCCTCCCCAGCTGAGGAAGGGAACATCAGGGATGACTTCAGCCTGTTTCATAGCAGGTTCCCCTGCAGCCCCAGGGACACCGGGAGGGAGCCCCGAGGGGGCAGAGCAAGGGCTGCCTTGGGCTGGTCCTGTGCTGCTGAGCTGGGCTGGGGTCCTGGGATGGAGGGAGCTGATGGCAAGTGGGCAGCGCTGCCGAGAGACAGCTCTGCCCAGGAGTCGCTCCCCTGCC